TTATTAAATTTTTATCTTTTTATTTTTTTTTCTTTAATGATATTTTTTTATTTTTAATATTCTTACTATAATAAAATACTTTTTATTTTATTACTTATTTATTTTTTTATTGTTTTTATCTTTATCTATTATTTTCTTATCACATATGAAAAAATGATTATTTTCTACTAATCATAATATTGGAATTCTTTATTTTATACTAGCTATTTGGTCCAGTATAATTGAATCAGCAATAAGAATGCTTATTCGATTAGAATTATCTTGTAGAAATTTAATTAATAATGTCAAATTTATAATTATTTAATTACTAACCATGCATTTATTATAATTTTTTTTATAATTATACCTTATATAATCGGAGGATTCAGAAATTTTTTAGTCCCCTTAATACTTAGCTTACCAATTGTAGCCTATCCTCAAATAAATAATTTCTGACTATTACTCCCATCCTTTACTCTTCTTATTTTAAGAAATTTTATATATTTAGGTACTGGTGCAAGATTAACCCTTTATTCCCCTCTTACATCTATTCCACAGAGCACAATCAATTGATTTAACTATTTTTTCTCTTATTGCAGGCATATCTTCTATTCTAGGCACAATTAATTTCATCTCTACAATTTCAAATACACAGTGAGACAAATATGTTCCCGGACACGAACCACATCTCAGCAACCAGTGGCGACATCTGTGCGTTCAAACATGCATTTTAAAGGTTGAACATTTTGCTATCATCTGTCAAAGTTTCATTCATTTTGACATATAACGAAGATATGACAGTTCATGTTAAACAAGATTTTGGTCGAGGTAGAAATTTTAATATGGAAGAACAAAAAACAATGATTAAATTTAACGCAAAACTTGTAAAAGTGCATCAGAAACATTCCGATCGATGCAACAAGTTTACGGCAGTCAATGTCTAGGTCGTACAGCTGTTTTTGAATGGCATAAGCGTTTTTTGGAAGGCAGAGAGACCCTTGAAGATGATAAAAAATCAGGACGGCCAATTTTGGTTCGAACACCCGAAATGATCAAAAAAGTACGTGATTTTATCGCAAACGATCGCAATGCATCACTAAAAATGATGGAGGAGGCTTTAAATATCAGTAGAGAAATTATTCGAACCATATTACATGAAGATTTGGATAAAACGAAGGTTTGTGCGAAGTTTATTCCACATACATTAAGAAGCGATCAAAAATCAGAGAGAATCAATTATTCCAGAGACATCGTTGCAGCCGCAGAAAATAATCCAAACTTCCTAAAATCAATTGTTACGGGTGATGAAACATGGTGCTTTCAATATGATCCAGAAACTAAGCGTCAAAGTGCGGAATGGAAGTCAAAAAATTCACCAAAAGCAAAAAAAGTACGAAAAGTTCCATCAAAAATCAAGACAATGCTCATCACATTCTTTGATGGCAAAGGTATTATCCACGAAGAGTTTGTTCCAACTGACCAAACAATTACTGGTGCATATTATCTCGAAGTTTTAAAGCGATTGATGGGCAGAATTCATCGTATTCGCCCCGAATATCGTGATCCAGAAAATTGGTCCCCGAATATCGTGATCCAGAAGATTGGTCTTTGTTGCATGATAATGCACCGAGTCACACTTCATTGATTGTCAATGTTTGGCTCGAAATCGTGTCTCTGTGTTAAACCATCCACCGTATTCACCTGATTTGGCCCCCTGCGACTTCTCATTATTCCCAAAATTGAAATTGAAATTGAAAGGACGCTTTTTTGATGATATTCCGACCATCCAATCAGCTTTTACACAGGCACTAGAGGCAATTCCGCAAACTGAGCTAGAATATGCATTTGAATCACTATTGAATCGCTGTAACAAGTGTATTGAAGAGAAGAATATTTTGAATAATAAAACCAAAAAATATGCATATTGTTGTTTCAATTATGATTTTCAGGCCCTGTCCGGGAACATATTTGTCGCACTGTGTATTACCAAAAAATTTTATCTTTAGATAAAATTTCTCTCTTAGTCTGATCAATCTTCATCACAGCAGTATTATTATTTCTTTCTCTACCTGTTCTTGCCAATGTCACGTCATACGATCAAGCTGAAAAATCTTTTTTTTTCTTTTATTTCAATTATATATTATTATTATTATTATTATTACTACTCTTATTCATACTAGATGAATTATTGTATCGATTATCCTTCTTTTTCCTTT